TGCGGCTTATTCACCAGATTGTGCCCCTTCTGACTACCACTTGTTTCGGTCGATGGCATACGCACTTGCTGAGGAATGCTTCAATTCCTATGAAAACGTCGAAAAATGGGTCTCTGACTGGATAGCCTCCAAAGATGAGTCATTCTTTCGCCGCGGAATTCACTTGCTGATCGAAAGATGGGAAAAAGTAATCGCTAACGATGGACAATACTTTGATTGACGTACTTTTTCATTTTGTTTTTTAAATAAAGCCATACGTTTTGCAAGAAAACGGATGGAACTTTCCGATTGACCTAATACTTCGTGTAAGCTCCGGAAACTTATTGAGCAGAGCATCATACTTATTGTTCCCTTTGGTTGAGGTACGAGGGCCGTTCGATAAGTAAAGTAAAAAAGCAATAAAATCACCTATTATCCAAAGAATTATTTTTTACTTCTCGACGTAGTTTCCTTGGAGCTCTACCAGGTCTGTAAATATGAAACCGGAATTTGCCCATAGATGGCCCTAGCTGTCAATGTAGTTACCGTCAAACCGCGTCACTGGCGCCATTTCCATTTGTTGACATCTGACAAAGATTTTCAACTCACAACAATACAAGTTTCATACAACAGCATAGTTTGTAATAGAGTTGAACATGTCAAATTTTGTGTCCGGAAGTTACGATTTGCGGACAGCATTGATTTTCTGTTACCATTTGAAAAAAACTGCTGCAGAATTGCATCGAATGCTTGTCGAAGCTTACGGTGAGCATGCTCTTGGTAAATCACAGTGCTTTGAGTGGTTTAAAAAATTCAAACGTGGCGATTTTGACGTGAGAAACGAAAAACGTGGAAGACCACCGAAAAAGTTTGAAGACAGCGAATTGCAAGCATTATTGGATGAGGATGACACTCAAACGCAACAACAACTCGCGGATCAATTAAATGTGACACGAGGAGCTGTCTCCATACGTTTGAAAGCCATAGGAAAGATCCAGAAGATGGGGAAATGGGTTCCACATGAACTGAATGAAAGACAGTAGGAAAACCGAAAAACTACTTGCGAAATGTTGCTCGCCAAGTACAAAAGAAAGTCATTTCTCCATCGAATTGTGACTGGCGATGAAAAGTGGATATATTTTGAGAATCCTAAGCGTAAAAGATCATGGGTAACTCCAAGTGAACCATCGACATCGACTGCAAGGCCAAATCGCTATGGACAGAAGACAATGCTCTGTGTTTGGTGGGATCAGAAGGGTGTGATCTATTATGAGCTGCTAAAACTTGGCGAAACCGTTAATACTGACAACAAATGATCGATTTGAATCAAGCTTTGCATGAAAAACTAGAATATCAAAAAAGGCAACACAAAGTGATTTTGCTTCATGATAATGCATCATTACACACAGCAAAACTGGTCAAGGAAATGATTGAGGCGTTTAGTTGGAAAATATTTTCGCATGCGGCTTACTCACCAGATTTGGCTCCGTCCGATTACTACTTATTTGCATCGATGGGACACGCACTTGCTGAGCAACGCTTCACTTCTGACGAAAACGTACAAAAATGGTTCGATGACTGGTTTGCCGCAAAAGAGCAACAGATTTTTTGGCGTGGCATTCACAAATTGTCAGACAGGTGGGAAAAATGTATAGCTAGCGATGGGCAATACTTCGAATAAAATATTTTTTATCATTTTCATACAATAAACGTGTATTTTCTATACAAAAATTCCGATTTCATATTTACATACCTGGTACACACTTAGTCCAGTGTTCCAATTTTTATCCCTTCGGAAAAATAGGAAGTCTCAAAGCCTTCAAAATATATTACGCATCCACAGCGGCGATGACCTCCTCATTGGACGAAAATTTCTTTCCCCCGAGCCAGATATTGAGGATTGGGAATAGGAAGAAGTCACAAGGGGCAATCGGGAGTTTACAATAACTTCAAAGTTTACGTAAAGGTTTCCCGGGCCATTCGATTATTGAATGATAGATCCTCGGATTAGAACATGTTCCCTGGATTTTAGATGAAAACAAACGACGGCATCGTGCTCAGTGGGTCAAAATCCTTTGGAAATGATATGTTTTGTTCCCTATGATAAGCCAAAATTAGCCCTTTTTACCTATTATTCTTTATGTGTTTGTTACAAAATGACAGGGGTCTTCGTGCTTTGATTGATGTGTTTTATCTTTAAACGTAAATTGATATGTATTGTAGCAACTCTGTATATCAATAGTATCGATTTAAGTAGAAGGAATCTTTCTAAAGTTAAAACGTTATGTTACGTCCTAGAGGAGGAACGCAACCCTTTCGTTCGCGAGTAAGGCGAACCTCGTTCGTACACGTGTGTCAGTGAACGGGTCAGGGACCCGACGGGTCCCTTTACTAGGGCACCGACGTACGACGAGCGGTCCGTTTTTCGGTCAGGAACGCGAATCCCTTTACCGGGGATAGGACCATGAGTATCGATTTAAGTAGAAGGAATCTTTCTAAAGTTAAAACGTTATGTTACGTCCTAGAGGAGGAACGCAACCCTTTCGTTCGCGAGTAAGGCGAACCTTACTTCGCAAGTTGACTGTTGGAAGGGTATATGTGATTTTGAAATCAATTGGAAAAAAATGAAATATAAACAGATTTATTAAAATGAGTATAATAACAAAATGAATTACGGCACGGTTTAATACAATTGATGAATGACTGTGTATGTGTATGTGTGCGTGTATGAGAAGTGAAAGAAGGAGGAAATAATAAAAAAAAGGAAGGAATATGAGTAAAGAGTTAGTCGGGTGAGGGGGAGCGTGAGTGGTCGGGTGAATTTAAGGGAGTGGATAGTTCGGAGAAGGAAACTGGTGAATAAGATATCGAAGGGGTTGAAGGCGGGGACGCGTGTGTAGGAGGAGAAGGCGGAGTACCAGGGGAAAAACGAGGAAGAAGGTAAGGGGATAGGAGTGTAAGATCCGGGTGATAATCAGTTCCTAACGCTATATTAACTATGGCTCGGAGGTAGTGGATCTGAGATGTAAGTTGGTCTGGATCGCTAATATCAAAAACTGCCTCGAACGTTCGGAAAACGTGGAGGGTTATTCCTATGTTGTAATAATGACCCACTAAAAACGGATTTCAATAATATGGGGAATTAATAAGATGGTGGTAGAAAAGGTAGAAGCAAAAAAAAACAGAACTTACTGCTGACTCCTGTTATCCCGAAGGTGAGCAAAAATAAAATTGTAGTTTGATAGCTCCTGCTCGGTAAGTTAGGTTGTGCTCGTCCACTCCCTTCCGTTTGTCCAATTATGACACAAACACTAATATATTTTTTTTTGCTGATTTCTTTAAATATTTGCACAAATTTAGATATATGAGTTAGAAATATTATCTGAATATCTGAATCTTGAAAACAGAATATCCGAGTGAGAGTGTGACTGCCTTTAGAAGTAGAAGTAGTGTGTCGCGGAGGCGGATTACCGCGGTTTTTATAGTGATAATCGGAGGCAGAAGCTATCAGGGTGGGTAGAGAGATGGCCTTTGAGGAAGGGGTGAATTGGTCTTAGTGGGAAAAAGTCTCAGCCATTAGCAAAGTTAAAAGACATCGTGGGAGGAGACAGTTAGTTTTTGGAGATATGAATATGGAAGGGCTAAAGGGTGGAGCGTGGGTGTCTCATAGTTTTAGGTGGATATATGATTGGCTGAATGAATTAGGCGCGACAAGCGTGGAGGTGGTGGATTCTTGAGGTAGAGAAATGTATACAAGTGGCCGGCTGGAAAAATCAAAATGCCGTAAATCAAAGGCTGAGATCAGATTTTACGACTATCAGTGAAGTAAGCTTTGTTGGTTGACTGATAGGGCACATATGGTTTTGGATTGGGAAGATGTAAGTTTCAAGTTTTAAAGCAGGAATGCTCTGTGTTGCTTTGTTTTACTGAAGGTTTGTTAGCGCGGAGTTTCAAATTTTTATGGCTAGGACGACGGACACACTTGGCGAACACTACCCAGATATAAACTTTAAACGAAGACGTAGATTTTTATAACAGGGCACTGTTTCCTGTTATGGAATTTTCCCGAATCGCCTTTCATTTGGCGCGACGGCTGTTCGCCAGATGGGTCTGTTTCCTAATTTATATTTATATATGTATATATTCCTATTATAGTTATATTAGGAAAATATAAATCCGCGAGAGGAAAGAATTTTTACTAATTAAATCTACAGGACGTAACAGTTATTTATTGACACAAATACACCATACTATTATTTTAATAATTCATATATTTTTCTCAATAGTATAGTAATGTTAAAAACTTTTATTGTTAACTTCTATTTAAAAAAATTTTATTGAGTCAATCATATTTTCCTTAATAAAATAATTATTTATTTTGTTTATAAATGCAATTAATTTTTTTATTATAATTGAATAAATGTACTCAATTTAACCAAGTCTTCTGTCAGTTATATCATATAATATAATCAATTCAATTAGGCATAATCAATTTAGTTAGATTTAATATAAAAATACCATTTTATTGCTTTGCTTACATAATTTATTTCACCTACAGTATTGCTGTAAATTAGACAAATCTTCAGTGTATTGTTCCGATATTTGTAGTTTGACTTTTACATATGTTATCAAAGATATAATCCTGGATAATTTGTAAAAGATCTTAAGATAGTTACTATTTATAAAAAAAGTTATTAATAAAACGGTTGGAGAAATAAAATATATTATATTAGAATATTATTATTCATTTAAAAGTCAAAATTGCAATGATGTAAAATAAAATTTTGTTACTACTATTTTATATTTAACCTTCGTAAAATATATTAAATCAATAATCCATACATCCTACTTCAATTAGAACTGTATTATATATTTTTATTTAAAATTATACGTAAAAGAAAGAAAAAAATAAATCTTAAAAATTATGAATTTGATTTATTCTTCTAATTTCGAATATATATATTTCACATCTAGTAAGTTAATTTTATTATTTTGTTAAAGATCTTACATTGGCTTTAAAGATGATCGCCGACGATTGGTTAAAAATCAAAACCAACAAAGAATTGAATACCATGATAAAAAATGCACAGAATGCCCGTGCCATCATTATGTTTGGATATTTTCTCATGGTTGTAGGCTTCACTTTATTAGCAATTCTACCTTGCTTTGGGAAATCAATGAGATATATCACAAATATCACTGACCCGGATAAAATCTTGCCACTTCAAACCTACTATTTATATGACAAAAATCAAAGTCCATACTTTGAGTTCACATTCGCAGCACAATGCCTCATAATCTTAATAGCTGGTGCATCTTACAGCGGCGTAGATAACTTGCTTGGATTATTGATATTTCATTTATGCGGTCAAATAGAGAATCTTAAAGAACGGTTAATCAACATAAGACATAAAACATTTAACAATGGTATCGCTTTCATCGTCAAGGATCATATACGACTGATCAAGTTTCGTGTTAATTTGTGTAGTCTTGTAATAGATTTGATCTTGATTATATTTTCAATTTTTACATGCGTTCTAAATACTCAATAGACTTGAAAAATTGCTAATATTTTTCTTTCAGATATTTCAATATTGTTGAAAGCACTTTTACCCTATTATTGCTCGCGTTGCTACTTTATTTCGGCATTTTATTCTGTCTATATGGCTTCTTAATCATTACAGTAAGTTCTTGTTATTTATTCTTTATTGCGACTATAAACGTATGCTCAACATACTTTTATAAAAATACTGCTTCTTTATCAACACTATGAATATACCTAACATTTTTTAATAAAAATATTGTTATAATAATTATGTAGATATTGACAGAAAGGAGAGAAATGTCGATGATGCGTTTTATATATCTCATCTCTGTCGTGTTAAACATTTGCGGCCACATGGGTCTATATTGTGTAGTAGGTGAGATTCTGGTAACGCAAGTAAGTATTACTATGTGAGAAATGTAATAAGAAAACAATACTAAAAAAATAATTTCGATATTATGTATGAAGTGCGAAGGTATATATTACGCTGCATATAATTATGAATGGTACGAATTGAAACCAGAAGAAGGTAAAACTTTGCTTTTAATAATGATTCGAGCTAGCAAACCTTTATACATCACAGCTGGGAAAATGTTTCCAATGACGTTATCAATGTTCTGCAATGTAAGCAATTATAAAATATTATAATATAATATCATGAAAACGATTTAGTAATTAAAAAATTAGATAAAAGTATGTCGAACATAAATATATTTAGAATAAGATACACTAACTTTTCAAAAAGTTAACTAAACTTTTCTTTTATTTATTGCTTTACTTATAACTTAATTAGATTTGCCTTCTTAAAAATAGTCCTTTCTACTATATACTAGGTGCGCAACTAAGTTTCCGGGTTTTTTTGATCAATGAAGAACGGAAAATTTCAAGTGGAATACAAAAAATGGTTTATTGAAAGTATCGTCCCTCGCTAGCTACACATTTTTGCCATCTCTCTGGCAATACATGAATACCACGACGTTAAAACGACGCGTCTTTGGACCGAAACCATTCATCCAACCAATTTTGTACTTCTTCGAAATTGGCTACGTGTTGCCCAGTCAAGCCATACGCCATCGACCGGAACAAGTGATAATCGGAAGGGGCCAGGTCTGGCGAATATGGCGGGTGTGGTAGCAGATTCCATTTCAGCGTTTTCATGGTGTCCTGGACGATGGAAATGCGATAGCACGGAACGTTATTGTGTTGCAATCACTCGTTCGTGTCTTGTGTCCCATTCTGGTCGTCTTTCGAGCAATGCATGGTTCAAATTGATCAGTTGTTGTCGGTAGCGACCGTTAACGGTTTCGCCCGGTTTCAGCAGCTCATAGTACACGAATCCTTTCTGGTCCCACCAAACGCAGAGTATTGTCTTCTTTCCGAAGCGATTTGGCCATGCCGTCGATGTTGATGCTTCGCCAGGTGAAAGCCACAATTTTTGCGTTTGGGATTCACGAAACATATCCACTTCTTATCGCCAGTAACAATTCGATGCAGGAAACTCTTTCTTTCATGCCGCAAAAGCAAAATTTCGGAAGTGGCTCTTCGATTTTCCATCTGTCTCTCAGTCAACTCATGCGGCACCAATTTTCCTTCTTTTTGAATTTTTCCCATGGCATGTAAACGTTTGAAAATACCTTGGCGAATCATGTTTAATGCCTCCGCAAGTTGATCTTGTGTTTGCGTATCATCTTCATCCAATAACGCTTGCAGATCGGCGTCCTCAATTGTCTTTGGTCTTCCGGAGCGCTCGTCGTCCTCAGTGTCGAAATCGCCACTTCTAAAGCGTTTAATCTTCAATCTTCACAGGTAGTTTTCGTTGGTGCATGTTCGCCATAGGCCTCCTCAAGCAAACGACGTGCTTCAGCTGCACTTTTTTTCAAGTTAAAGTAGAAAAGCAAAGCTTCCCGCAAATGCTGTTTATTTGGCACAAAACTCGACATCTTCGTTGTTAGAAAAAATATTTTTGCGTTGCGATATGTATTGGTATTACGACTGTTTATTGTTAACAGATGTCCAAGCTATAAAAAGAAACACAACTTCAGACATGTATGTCGACTACATGTGTCGTTAGCGCCATCCATGTGTGAAACCCGGAAACTTAGTTGCGCACCTAGTAACATCAAGATTAATATCAAGGTTGATATCACCGTTCTCAAAGTTTTTTCAATTTCAAAAGTCTAGTTCTTTTTTAGACAGACTAAACTCTTTTAGACAGACATCAACGGCCATATTGTATTTTAGCAGTTATTAATTCTTTTTCCTATATATTTTCCTTTCATTTCCTTACATTTTCCTATATATTTTCATATTATCAATACCATACAAATGATATAAATGTTATATATGTACTATTTTATAAATTTCAGTTGATAAAAACATCAGCTGGTTATGTATCGGTTCTACTTGCCAGACAAAGTTTGTAAAACCAATTCCAGAGCCTATTATATATGCTATATATTTTATAAAATGTTCTATTTCATCATGAACACTCCAAACCTGTCATGAGTACCCTAAATATCATCGCTTCTGACAAAGATGTTAAAAAACAGATTAGAGCATTTTATATGATTTGAAAATGTTAATATTATGGCTACAAAAATAATTACTCCAACGTCATGTTGAAAATTATTTCAAGATCATCGTTATTACTTTCATATTACACAATATATTTTGTCATCATGTAGTGTCATAGTAAACTTCGAGATAAGTTCAATAACCTAAATTTATAACAGTGCTTGAAATTACTTTCACTTGTTCAGGCAATTTTCAAGAGTTTTTCCTATTTATTTCTTCTTATTTTCCTCTTACTACACCTAGAAGTCCGCTGGCCGTAAGTCTGACAGTCGTACTCCTTCCGCCTCAGGATCGTTGATATCATCCCACATTAGATCCCACACTAGATTTCCAAAGTATTAGGAGCGCAAAAAGTTCTGAGCCCTAGATTTCATACTACTGAAACCACAATTTAAATTGCATTCATTTTCCCGCCCTCTTGCGGTTTTAAAGCAGTGACATTTGGTCTTTCGAAACATCGTGCGATTTGGCGTTTGATGCACATAACCTTAAAATCAGCAGTGTTCACGATGGCAATAACAAAAGAGCATATTCGATTTTCCATCCACTTCGCGTTTCATCTGAAGAAAAATGCTGCTGAAGCCACTGAAATGATCTGTGTTGCATATGGAGAGAACGCTGTAAGTTATGCTACGTGTAAAAGGTGGCATCAAAAATTTCGCCAAGGAGATTTCAGTCTTGAAGATGAACCGCGTGCTGGACGCCCTCAAAAGATTGAAACGGACGAACTGCAAGCATTGTTGGATATAAACTCTGCACAAACTGAAAAGGAGCTTGCAGAGCAACTTGGCGTTACGCGACAAGCCATTTCCACACGTTTACACGTGCAATGGGAAAAGTTCAAAAGGAAGGCAGATGGGTTCCGCATGCACTGTCCAAAGACAACAAAAATCGACGGCGTGACACGGCACTCACTTTGCTTTCAAGGTTCCGGAAATAGGATTTTCTGCACCAAATCATTACAGGTGATGAAAAGTGGATACTTTATGATAATCCGAAGCGTAAAAAATCATGGGTTGACCCTGGTCAACCTTCGACATCGACGCCAAAGACCAATATCCACGCTAAGAAGGTTTTGCTTTGCATATGGTGGGATTGGAAAGGTGTATTGTATTACGAGTTGTTACAGCCGGGTGAAACAGTAACGGCAGATCGCTATCAGCAACAATTGAGCAATTTGAGCGATGCGTTTGAAGAAAAGAGGCCATTTACTGGCAAAGGACGTCGTAAAGTGATACTGCTTCATGACAATGCCCGACCACATATTGCGAAAGTGACTCAGGACCATATCTTTGCGTTAGGCTGGGAACTTCTTCCGCACGCGGCGTATAGCCCAGACGTGGCGCCTTCCGATTACTATTTATTTCGGTCTCTGCAGCATTTCTTGGCTGATACACATTTTGTGAAGAGATACGAAAATGCATTGATGACTTTATCGCCTCGAAGCCGGTGAGCTTCTACCATCAAGGAATTCGCAAGCTGCCCAAAAGGTGGCAAAAGGTCATCGATGCAAACGGGGAATATTTCGTTAATTAATATAGTTTTGTTTATTTTTAAATAAATTTTGAATTTTGCAAAAAAAGGCTCAGAACTTTTTTGCGCTCCTAATATATCCTAATTTGATCAAAATGATCTTATTATAATCTAAATGAAAAGGTTATTCATAGGAGTATCTGAGGACATGTGCATTAGCCACAAATTACATAAGATATTCGCATAACATCCGTAAGATGTTCTAGTGTGTTAGTTGATGTTTATTGAGGAACAGCGATACACTGCTTTTCTTTATGGTGCAACATTTATTTGATACTGTGATCAATTCACTTACAGTAATTAGTTTTTGTTTTTATTAATTAGATATTAGATTATTAGATATTAGATATTAATTAGATAATATTAATTAGATATTTAACAGATAGAGGAAAAGGTAGTAATATGGAACCCTGCTGATATTATGAAACCCCCTGGAATATCTGAAACTTATTGAGTTGCACTCTATGGGCGACAGCTGAAACTTGTTTATTAGGTTACCTTTTGGGCCGTCAAAGCGCTAGATTCGCTAGTTCTGATCGAATAGTAAGCATATTTCTCTTTCGTTACTTTCCGAATGTTTGAAAGGTATGTAAATCTATATTTATTTAAAACTATTTATGATTAATAGATAACTTTTAAAACCAGACACGTTAAGTATAGAGTGTAATCTAACTTTCCTACATATTTTACAGGGTGGGAGGTTATAAGTTTACAACCCGAAGTGTGAAGGTAGTGCGATGCTTTTCACCAAAAGATCGCCAAATGATCCGCGCAAGCTTTACCCGTCGCAAGGAATTCCGCCGGTAACGGAACACGGCGGGTCCGATCCGATCAACTCGTATTCCGCTCAAAATACCACCAAATTTGTGGGCGCCAGGTACGGAGGCGGCCGTACCACCGATCCTCGCCAAAATCACTAAAGTTACCGTCGGATCGCGATCCCCGCCTCCCGCCCCGTGCGGGACCGACTAGCTCCCCGTTCTTTAAGTCGGAAGTGGGCGGGGTCGTAAAATAGAGTATTACTACTAACCCGGTCTCGTCTGTTTGTATCAACATGCAATATATTTATAAATTAGATAACGCCGCTGGCGAGACGGCTAGCCTCCGTTCGCCCGATCTGTTCGTACGCACAAAGAGCTCGTTGATTCGAGTCGTCGACGGCTTCGCCGTCCGACGGACTCCGCCAAGGATCGCCACCCCTACACGGTGGTTGGCACCAACGTCTCGAGCCGCGATCGTCGGAAGGAAGATCCGGCCACTTTCGCAAGAGGCAAACAGGTAGGGTGAGCTTACGCAGCGGCTTCTTTCTGCTTTTCCGGCTCCATTAAGGCGGATCTCGCCGGCTGCTCGCTCATCCGCCTGGTCGCTCCCGCGTCTCCTTCGCTCTCGCTTCGTTCGTCTGTTCGTTTGTTCGCTTATTCGCTCGTTCGCTCATTCGCTCGCTCGCTCGCTTGGGATCCCAAGATGGAATAGGCCGAATTCTTCCGGTCTACGCAGAGACATCGGCTCTCGGAGTCTCCCCGTTCGCGGGACCTCCCAGGGAGCCTTGCGCGGTCCTGCCGCCGTGCCCCGCCGTCTCGCCGAATCTTTTCCTTGTCGCGACCACTGTCGCGTCTCACCCCGAATTCGCGGACACCCCGCTTGCACGGGCGTTCCGCCGCCAATTACCGAATCTAGCTTCGAATATTTGTACCGTAACGGGCGCTCCAAGCTGCCACGTTACAGTAGACTGGGTTAAGACAAACATAAAAGTCCCATACCGTTTTGCGAGATTCGCAATAATTATCGAGTTATTAATGACAGAAATCTGAGGAATGGGAGCGCGTCGACATAGATGATTGGAAAAGCGTTGCAGTTACTCAGGCCACAACGCGGTCCACTCGACCTAGCAACTATAGGCGGCGTGCGGCAAGACGTAGGTCCGGCGAGATAAAACAACGAATAGCGGCGCATTGTCTTTCCCCTTGGCGCTCACCGGCAACAGTTGCTGAATCAATTGGGCCGCACTGCGGCCTAAGCAGCTGCAACACTTCTCTAATCATCTATGCCGGTGCGCTCCCACTTTTCAAATTTCTGTCATTAATAACTCGATAATTATTGCGAAACTCGAAAAACGGTATGGGACTTTTATGTTTGTCTTAACCCAATCTACCTTCACACTTCGGGTGTAAACTTATAACTCCCACTCTGTATAATATTTAGTCCTCTTTGTTTTGCTGCAATCAGTATTGTTTTTAAAGATGACGATGTTTGCATTATGGGCGCATAAGGTGCTTTTAATATGGACCCGGGTTCCATGTTACATACACGTTTTAAAAAATTTTGTTATATTTTTCTATAGATGCCACCATTGCCACGGAAAACTATAGACTCAACACCACCAAAGAAAAGGCAGACTTGGGATAAGGCTAAAATGCAAGAGGCTGTTACTTTAGTCAGAGAAAGAAGATGGGACTTAAGAAAGCGGTTAAAAGATTTGCAGTTCCGAAAACGACATTGCATAGACTGGTTCATGAAACACAATTGTCACCCGAAGACGTTGTCATGAAGAAGCTAGGAAGAAGGCCAATACTCCCTGAAAACCTAAAAAAGGAACTTGTGAAGTATTTATTTTTGATGGAATCAAAGTATTATTTACTCTCTTCGGAACGAAAATAAGATGCAGGTCCCGAACATACGGCGTCCCGTCGCCACTTAGTACGCCCTCCTTCTTTCATTACAAGAAACGGCGTTCAGAACAATTTCAGAGATGAATGTGCAGGGAGCGCGCTTGATCAGTTTCTTCGTCGCTACAAAGACAAACTTGCACTTAGGAAACCAATTGGAACCTCTTATGCACGAGCTAAAGGCTTCATTCGCGAGAGAGTAGGTATATTTTATGATTTGTTACAAGCAAAGTACGAGAAACATAACTACCTATCTGAACGCATATGGAACGTTGATGAGACAAGTATAAGTGTAGTTCAGATAAAAATTCTTCACGTAATAGCATCTAAAGGAAAACATCTGATATGTTCATTAACTGCTACAGAGCGTGGATGTCTTGTTACAGTTATTTGTTCAATGAGTGCGGGAGGCTCATTTGTTTCACCAATGTTTATATTCCTACGAACTAAAATGACAGATACGCTAATGAAAGGGGCACCTCCTGGCTCGATAGGGAGGGCTTATTTATCGGGATAGATATAGGGCGGTATTCATAGTCGAGTCTCAAAGCGATACTGAAGATCGTCTTACAAGGGGAAGGCACGTACGAGATCTCACGGATCGGGATGAATCTTTTTGAGGTTATTCCACAACGGTAATAAACCTTTTGTGTAAA